TGTATAAATATTTTTCCAACAAGTTTCGAGTGGCCGTACATCGAGAGGTCTCGACAAATAAAATTGTTGCTGGCAAACAACGAAAGACAGTGGATGGGTGAGTGATAAAAAAAAAAAAAAGAGGGGTGCTTTAATAGCCGTCAGAGACGCGATTGTTGATTCGTGTAATGAAATCAAGAGTAATCTAGAGGGCGATGGCTTTTGTTCGGGATGCATGAATTTTCGACGAGCGACCATTAATTATTTGAAATTAAATATCCTTCGCAGGTTTTAATTAAAATGTTTACAATGCACGGTCCTCCCTACCCTTCCAGATTACCGGTGCGACATTTTATGACGCCGATATATTAAAAAGGTGCGGATTCATTCATCACAACCGGTTCGGCGTTTTATCGGATAGCCTTTTGACGGAACTACACCCTCGATTATATCAAATGAATCCATGGAGAGTGACTAGGATGAAATACGAAAACAAATTAAAACGAAACGACAGAATCTATCGAAGAGACAGTAGTACTTGTTTAATAAATTCTCAAAGGTTCCGATCAATATTTCAAGCGATTAATTAAATATTTTCACTTTGAATTAACTGGCTGGCATTTATCGCTGCAAAACCTAGAAAATGTTCAATCCACGCGTATAAAGTTATTAACAAATTGGTATTAACGAATCACGCGATCGTTTGATCGGCAATTTCCAAATCCAATAACGCAATTATGACGCGTTTCGATAATATTCGTGTAATTAAAATTCCGCGCCCTACAAGCTTCGCCCCGAAGCTCGTGCCTCCGCTACCACGGTCCCTGACTCTTGTGAGCAAACGATTCTTGTTTGTTTTGCAAACAAAGGGTTTCTCGCAAGGGTTGGAGAGACTTCGGGTCGAGTGAGGGAAAAGGAGGGAGAAAGTGAAGCGCGGCGGAGAGAAGGGACGAAAGAAAGAGGATGGGAGGGAAAGTGAAAAGGGGGTGTGCTGGAAAACAGGGGCAGAATTATTACATCTTTTGTTCGAAGGCTCGAACCGCCCCATTTGCGGAATTGCGGATCGCGATCCAGCCGCGATTGCGACCGCTGAATGCCACGGGGTCGGCGAGGCTTTTGTTAGTTTTGACTAATTTCCGCCAGGTAATCTGCTTCAATTCGAATTTCCCCGAGCGTAATAGCGCGTTACACAGGAATTCGGGAAAATCGTCTATGCAATCATCGGATCCTGATTACTTTACGATCGACTACGACCGATAATCATTTTTTATCGTTTTCATCGATAACCCGTACAACGTACAAAATTTCAAAGAAGAAATCAACGCTAGATAAATAAATTTTCTACTAGATTTTTGTAGATACGATAACCCGACGTAGAGAACGATAACCGTAAAATTTTAATCCCAATGCCCAGGATGGTTGCAGCATCGGCAAACCCAGCAGCCCTTGAGCAAGTTTAATTCTTGTGGGTCCCATCGGTGACTTTATCGCGAGAAATTGCCACGGTCCGGAAACCGTCGTTACAGCATCGTTACCGTAAGAACTTACTGGCGAGCATTGTTACGGCTAATGTTACCGAACTTAGTTAACTTTCAGTTTTACCGCCAATTCGGATTAAGAATTTATGGTAACGACCGCGACTCTTCGGTTTATTCTCCGCCAATGGAAGAACACGAGAAAACGTTCGCGACAGACACTTTAATCACGGCAACGATACACTTTCGATATTTATCTCTACAGTTAAATTTACAAAAACGACACAGTGTCGACAAAAATAATTTTTCATACGCGACGAAGCACGATCTACCGCAGCGAGGGACGAGTAATCAGAGAATAAGCGATTCAAGACTGCGGTTGGAATTCAATGCATCCTCGCCGTTCTGTTCGTGTATAATTCGATACGTCTATCGTATCACCTTACCGTCGATTCGATAAATCGGACGAGTAACTTGGACGCGACATCGGCCAGGGGAAACCGAGCATGCTGGGTCTCATGTATCATCTACTACTTGCCAGATCGACGCTTTCACCGCCGGTCAATTACATTAACGAAGAAACACGGGGCGACAAGCGAGCAAGAAAAGCTATACTAAGATGGAAACTTATAACTCTACACCCTGATAGTTTGCTATTTTTCCTCTTTCCCGTAACAGTATACCAGCCGCGTCACGAGTTTCTCGGCTAACTTCTGCCAACAACATCGAGACATTAATTTCGTCCGATTAGACCCGCTGGACTTCCATGACGAACGCGAAAACACTGAAAGAAAGAAGGCATCTCGAAGAGGACAAAAGAGTTTCTCTTCTTTCTTGAACTCGTCACGAGACCCCTTTCGAAAGCATTCCAATTCTCGTACCGCGACGGGAAGAGGACTATTTTAACCCTTCTTCTACTCTACCGTATAATCCTTCCCTCTAGATTCCCTCTTGGCGGTCGGTATAATCGAGCCACACCGGTGTTCCCGCGGGAGCCGTTGCTCTCGACACGATTCCTTCGAAGGATGAAACGGCGAAAAGTTTAATGAGCCCGCCTACCGCGTGTCCTCGGTCGGTAAAATTACCTTTTCCTTCTGTTAAGGACCTTGATTTGGAAGAAAACAACCTTTCCTGGATCGAATAATAGTCAGGATAAATTTCATCGCGTTCTCTAATTTTACTAAAAATATTAAGTCTATCGGGTGTACAGTAGTTGGCGAATTTTCAGGCGACTCGACAGAAGGTTTCACACCATTCCGAAACATAAACGCGAGTGAGGACTAATGGACCAACTTAAATATGAAAGAGCAACCTGCCCACCGGCTAGCGGGTAACAATAAACTAACACTTAAGACGTACTCCAAGACACAATGCCAAGTCACACTCCTCGCGCTAACGATCTCACCTTCAAGCTTCAAGTCTTACACCACCGACTCTCCCGAGGACTGCTTCGAGCTTAGGTTACAAGAAACACGAAAGAGCAGCGAACACTGACAAATATTTAAACGCATCAAAATAAGTAAGTATAAGAAAATGTTAGACATTCTATGTAAGATCGCTGTATACAGAAAACTATACCTTCATCTAACTTGTAAATGACTGCAAGACCTATAAAACTGAAACTAAGGTTTTATATCCTTTTATTTTTCTTTAATTGTGAATTAATAAGTACGAACGAGTTCAACGGTGCAGCGTAATTCTTCGTTTAAACGAACGACAAGAGACTACGTTACTCGCCACGTCGTAAAAACTAACAATGATGGAAATATTAGTTTTTAAAGCCGCGCAGGGTGTCGTTAACGGTCTGAACCTTTCCCGTTCACGAGCTGAAAGTTGCTAGCCCCTCGTTGCTCGTCGCTTTTCTTACGCCTCGCGTTTATAGGCCTTCGTGAGCTATAATTCCTTTTTTTCTTTCGTATAACGCTTGAAACGAGAGAAAGAAAGCGTGTTCCTGTTCCTCTACTTCCTAGTAAGTTATACGACTTTATTAAGAATGCACGTCAAAGTTACTGATAAAAAAAATTTCTTTTGTAATTCAATTAACTGTTTGAACGATAGACCAGATTAATAATTTGTTTCATTTGTTTTCAACGAACCAACTTACAATCGAGCATTACACTCCGCGTATCCTTAAATTTGGCCCTGATACTTTTTGATCGCGACGTTTGATAATGCTGGTCATTATAAATTTAAGCGCTTTTAACAAAAGCGTTAGCTCACAGCCATCCTACACGCAATGCCGGCACTTTGCATACCGCATTCCGAACGACTTGCCACCCTTGTTTGAACTGGCGAACTGGTGTTGCGCTCAAAGTCCGAATGCATAATTAATCGGGTTATCAATTAAAGGAACGCCGTTGATTCGTGACCGCCTCGTACGGCAGCATCGTTGTTTCACCTCGATCCTGGCATCGAAAATCATTATCGACCAGATAATGATCATTCGAGTTTAGAATCAACCGCAACCGAACAAGAGATATGAATCATTCGAGAAAACATCTAAATTTGAAGATCCAAATGGGCGTTAAATATTGAGATTAAGTATTACGATGTTTTAACGCGAAAGATAATTTGATTCCTTAAACCAGTAAATGACTCGCGTAATTGAACATCTTTGAATCGAATAGCATTCTGGATAAACGTACTTCCGAGGATTGGCAAGAGATCGATCAGTTGAATTCTCATTGGTGGAACAGCACAGAGGCATGTAAACTCTGTTTGTAACCAACGAACTCAATCATTCTCTCTGTTCTACGAAACGGCAAGTACCAACATTGTCTGTGTAAACACAGGGAACCAAATGCACTTTGCTCGATATTTAATGCGAATGACAAATCCTTCTGATGAATTTTCGATTAACTTGAAGGTTACTGGACTACGCAGTTCTTTCGCGATGTATTTTCAAATACTGAATAATTAACTTAGTGCCCGAAGAAGACGCGATATTTCGATGAAACGTATGAAAGAGAATGATTGACGTTGTATGTGACATGGTACTATAAGCAATTTAATTTAAAAGCATTTAAACTCACTTGTTGTAGCCATTTTGGTAAACGAACCTTCTTGTGTAAAAATGCGATGAGTAGATTGAAATAAATAACAGCCACTTTAAATACTCTTCAGAAACTAGAATATACTAGCACTACAGAATCACAAAATGAAATATATAATGAAAAATCGAATTAAATTACGTGATTAATTCAATTTCACAGCCGTAATTGTAACCGTGACGCGCGATCTTTAAATACACGGTTGAAACTGAACAGCTAACGCTTTGGCTCCCTCTGTGAACCATCGTCAAAACTAACGAACTCATCGTCAGTGTAATACGGTAAGTCATAGTGGTCTGAACGTAGGTGATAAAATCAACGGTTAAAACAACAATTATTCATCAGTTTAAAGTGAACAGAACGTTAGTCTAAGAGAGAACACTATGCTGCTATAAAAAAGGTAATTTAAGTAATTGGGAATACTGTATAAGCATCGTTTTTTATTTCTTTAATTTTCTACAAACGTGCGCTTTGAAAATGGTATCGCTTGCGCCATCCCGTGGCGCATATCGACGTTAATGAAATAAAAAATTATGTTTATTTAAAAAATAAGCGACTTTAATGTTTTATTAATGCAAGTAGAGTGTTTCATGATCATAGTGCTACTTGAATAATAACATCCATTATAAAAAGTTGAATTCGACAGGTCAAGAAATGCTTAACCATCTAGCGGTGGACTTCCGGTACTAATAGCACCAATCCTATTCCTCTTCCGTTAGTTGTGTTGTTCGTTACAAAATGGTGTTGGCGGTATTATTTTCAAAGTGAGTACATATCAATTTAAAATTATAACATCTATAATTATTTTCAAATTCAATTATTTCATAGCAATATAATAATCACTTCTTTGCTATAGAGATTAAGTAGCTTCCTAATTAAAAACGTAAACTTTTAGAAGGAAGGTAATATAATGAACGAACACTTTAGTTATAAAAAATCATACATGGTCGTAAAAATTTTTACGCATGATTTTCGTTAAAATTCTATCATCTTTATTAAATACTCTTCATATAATACTATAACTTGTAATAGTTTAAAATGCTTGAATATAGTTCGCCATGGTTTAATAATGATAGTAAAGGGCGCCTAAGTGGATAATGGCGGCTAATGTTCGTTGCAATATCCGTTTTTAGCAATGCTCATCATTTTATTGGTAGCCTGAGTCGAGTTTAGCAGCTACAGGATTTGCAAGAGCATTGTCCGCCAGATTTGCAGCAACATTTGTCTGTAAAAGGAAATTGAATCAATTAATATTCAATAATTTTTATATCATATACAACAAACATTATATTCGTTATAAAATAGAGGTTATTTATACTTATAAGAACATTAGCGATCTATAAAACGATAGAAATCATCTTCACTTTCATTTTTTTAGAAAATTATACAATAAACTTATCACTGACGGCCATAGCTGAACGGTCATTGCTCCAGTTTCAAAAAAAAAAGCCAAATACAGTTAGAGTAAAGCAGTATGGCTACGTTCTTTGAACGTATTGTCGGTATTGTCGGATTAAAATATAAAATTAATCTTGACCCGTACAAGAAAAACAATATTTTCATAATTAATTTTCATTAAAAAATTGTTACCTTCGCTACACTTGCACTTGTCTCCACACTTGCAGTCTTGGCATTTGTCTGAAATAACAAAATATTTAAAAACGTCTGATTAGATAAAACTCAAAATTTTTATTATTTAATGGTAAATATAGGTAAACGGATCTCTTCTTAGTGACTAAATTATTTCATTAAGTCCTGCATAGATTAATAACGACGACCGCATAACATAGGAATTTCAAGAAAATTTCTCTGCCAGTTAGGAATTTCTTATTAATAAATTATAAGAATAATTCAGTTGGAAATTCATATTCCTCACAGTCATGCAATTTTCTAAGAATCAGTGTTAATTCTTACCACCGCAGCATTTATCACTACCACACTTTGGTCCCGGCATTTTCGTTAGTAGTTGATTGAACTTCGTAGGTAGACTTCTCAGTACAGCGAAAGCTCGATGATTACTTAGCTCTGTTGCGCTCCTTCGAATTTATTGATTATCCCCTACCACCAGTACCAGTTATGCACAAGCCACTAAACGGCGTGTGCAACGTTTATTCTACGTGCCATGCGCAAAGCAAGAAAAGCAGCACGTATCCAATGGTTGCACGTTACACAACAGTGAGAGATAAGAATGTAGAATGTAGATATTCCAACACAATAGCGTCCAGCCGATTCTAGAAGTTTACGGCAAACAAATGGCCCGGTGATTCATGTTATGACTGATTGAATAACTACATTTTTTTACAAACTTTTTTTGGAGTTTATTAGAAAGTACGGTTAATAAAGTATTTTTGTTTATGTACGATGTATGTAAGGGGAAGTAAAAGATGTAGATTTTGTTATGAGTTTTTCTCTGAACACAAAAGTAACCAAAATCATAAAAGTTTTATTTATCAATATTGCTCTTTTAGTAAACAATCCTCATTACTTTTAATAAAAATATAAAACATTTAACTTATTGCAAATACTTAAATATCAATTAAACATTTTTTCGTCTGCGAATGAAATTTGTTTTATTAGCTGCCTGTTCAATGTGTACAGATTCATCCTCTGGTTCATAATGGATTTCATATACTCCATCCTGTGTAGTAGTTTGTTGTTTTTGAACTGAATTAACCCGTGCTGAAAATATTTTCTGTTTGTATATTTATATTGTAACAATGGATGTGCTTAGATATTTATATAATTAATTGAATACCTTTGTGACGGATCACAACTTTGCTTTGTGCAGATTCCAGCAATTTTTTGACCCGAGTGCCTGCTTTAGGAGATTTTTTGTTTTCTTTTATCTAAAAAAGAATGTGAAAATGAATAATTTCTTCTAAAATCAGGAAAATATGTATGTAAGAACACTTACTGTTTTAACTTGCAAAGGAAGTTTGTATGAAACCTTAGGGAGTACAAAATGATTTTTGGGAGTACTATCATTTTCTGGTGCACTTGTTCCAATTGCCTTAAAAGGGTGTAAATAAAATTGTAATATTAAAGGTTTAATTAATTTGATGAAATATTGCTTAAATTAAATAAATATTTACATTTACCTCTGATTTGTATACATAGTTCGTTCCTAATTTCGGAGATACATTAATTTTGAGTGTTGGTTTGTCACATATTTCATTTCTGTCTTTTAAAGGAGTACTTTGCTTTACATTTTTGTTTGAAATTGTTTTGACATTTTTTTTTAAAGGTGTAAGCAATAAATCATCCGTTTTAGCTCTTACATTTTTTATAAGCTGCATATCTGTACCTCTGATATACATACCCACTGGTGAAATTATAGTGTTATAATTCAATCTATACAATCCTTCTGCATGAGGACTCTTCAAGATATGGTTCCTTGTTGTATTTCTTTGAGAGCTAGCCATTGAGGGGAAATATGTTTTCTTTCTTTTACAATTTGTGCTTGGAGGGGTATTCCCTGGTGTAACAAACAGTCTTGGTTTTATATTCTCTTTTTTTTCCTCCTTTTCTTCACCCTTTTGCTTTGATAATGGTGACTTATATGGGCTATAAGATTTCAGATTTGTACTTAAAGTAAATCCTTTTGTACTTGATTTCTTTGTATTAAAATTCTCCCTTGAATCTGGAGTTTTGTATTTTAAATCAGGGCTTTTATTATCTTTTAGGGTACTATCAGGAGTACAAGGGTTTGAATTTTGGAACAACTTAAAAAGAGGTTTTTGTTTTTCCAGATATGTTTGATAGTCTTTACAAGACATTAAAGTTTTGAGAAATTTAGCTTCATCATTAATCAGTGAATGCGATTCATTATCATCAACAAACATAGGAGACATACGTAATGATTTTTGTGCTTCTATTACTTCAGGATCTGCATTAATTTCTGTAATAAGCCTTGCTGTATCAAGACATCTTTTTCTTTTTTCTGCAATATCTTGTAGTAGTGTTTTTTCTAATTCATCTGGATCAACTATTACGTAACCACTTGTAGTTTTATCAACTTGCACTTCACTGATATCAGATTTCTCACTAATTTTTTTAGATTTTTTTTTAGAGTATGATAACTTATCATGCTGAAAACTTTTTAATCTATTGTATATTTCTTGTTGTAAATCAGGGCAATAAAATTCTCGTTTTTTAAGCGAACTTTGACATCTATCAAGTAAATTGGGGGAACTAAAAATTATATTTTCTTTGTGATGTTGATCAATAGAATCAGAAACATTTAGTGAAGCCATTTGCTTTTCACATATTTGTTTAATTTTATTCATATTTAATAGAGAAGGTACTGATAAACTTCTATGTAAAGGTTTAGAACATTCTACTTCTTCTGGATACAATCTTCCACATTGAGCCTCCAAACGTTCAAAAGATGTACTAGATTCATTGTCTGATATATTAACTACACTGTCAGCACTTCCATTAAAATTATTTTTTGATATTTTATTGAAAAATCGTTTTCTCATTATATCTATACCAGATATAGGTGTAATAGGTGTAGACACAGTTAAAGGTGAACTTAATGTTGTTTCCATTTTAGAAGTTTTGATATGATCGGATTTATTATTTGAAGGGCTTTTCAGAGCCTCTTTTAAGTATATGGATAGGGGAGGTGGAGATGGAACCCATTCAGGGGCAGATTCATCTTCAAGAAATTTGCACATCTTTCTAAATTCCATTGTTAATCTACTTAAATTTAATGCAGATGTATCACATTTATCATTATCATTATTGATAATAGATTCTTCAATAATAGTCAATAATTTTTCAGTAAAATTTTGTGGTGAATTCATGAACTTGTTGGACAAACGTTTTAAAACCTGTGTTTTTGATGTTTCTTTCATTTGATTGAGTTGATTATCTAAGGAACAGAGTATAGTTTCAAATTTCTTTACTTCATCATTTTCAAGTTCACATTCCAAATTTTTGTCACAAATCAGTGTGTTTTCATTTGTACAATTTAAACTGAGTTGTGAATCTAATAATGATTTAAGTACATTGTGCTCTATAGTTGTAATTTCAGACTTATTATGAATATTATGATTAGTATCTCTTTTTGAATTTTCATTCATTATATTAGTTTCAGTTCTATCATGTGATATTGGTGTATTAGTTAACTGTTTAGACATGACATCATTTTTTAATTTTTTGTCTTTTAATGCATACTGAGGATTATTATTCTCTTTATAATCATCCACTTTGTTGCATAATTGTTTAGTTTCAGATGAATTAATACGTTTATTTAAATCTGGCTCAGATTGAGTTGATCGATATAATATTGTAGATGAAATAGACGAGTCTTGCTGATAAAAATCCTTTGCAGAATTACCAGATAAGATAATGGAATGTTTAGCACTACGGATAGCATCATTGGATGTATGGTTACTTACACTTTTAAGTTCATCCAAACTATCCTGAGATATTGAGTAAAGTGTATTGGAAGTGCTCTCTGATTCAGTTATGTTTTCTATGAAAAATGGAAAATAGTCAAACTTAATATACTAATACTTGCATAAACTACGATATACTTACGGAAACTATTTAATGAATCTGTAAAATTCTCAGCGCGTCTTCGACGTTGGTTCATTTTAATAGCGTATTTAAATCTTATTTATGCTTAACGATACTTAATCATTCGTTGAATGTTTTCAAAATTGCATATAAACTTCTGTAGCGTCCGTTGGATACGTTGAATTCACTATTCTCAATCCATTTTGAATTTTCAGTGGAACCAATATACCAAACAATATTTTATATAGTAAGTAATAGTAACTAATTTATTCGTTATATTGGTACGAGAAGAAATTCAAATGCTTGTAACCTAAATTTGATACTGTGTTGTTTTTATACTTCAAGTATAACGTGAAGTGATATTTAAAATAGCTTTTATGAATTTGAATCAGCAGACAGAAACAAATACTTCAGCACCTAATATATATGATGAAAAGTATATAGAATTTGTAAATAATGTATTGAAAGAAACATCTGAAAGTTATGAGAAAGAAGGGAAATGTATGTATTTGGAATATTTTGCAATTACTAATGACAATTGTGTATGTAACAATTGATCATTTTAGTTCTAGACAGTGTACTATTAAATCTATATAATATTTTTGGTGATATACTTGAAAGAGCATTAGATTTGTATGAACAAGAACGTGTAACTCATATTTTCCCATCTGAAACAGCTGGAGTAGCACCACATAGTAGCAGAAATAATGCTAGATATTTAGTACAAGTTAAGGGATTATCAGGAGTACCATATATTTTTTTTCCTGATATAAATTACTGTACTTGTGCTTCATTTAGGTATAAGGCTTCAAATTCCTTTTAGGGATTATTATAATCAAGTTATTATTAAACATTAATCTTACAGATGTCAAGTGTTAAATGATAGGTCTTTGTTTACTTGTAAACATGTTTTAGCAGCTTGGTTAGCAGCAATTACAAAAGAGAAATTATCTTATCAATATATAACAGAGAAACAATTTCAGAGTTTGTTGCTATATCAGGTTTCATACAAGCAATATGTACCCTGATCTAGAAAATTATAGTTTAGTAGCAAAACTAGGAAACCTTAGAACTGTAGTTCAATTGCTAAAGGCAATTAATTTTAAGGAGGTATAATAATAAAAATTTTTATTCTACTTTATATAAGATTGAAAACTAATTGACGTATAAATGTTCCATTCTGTTCAGAGTGCTACATGTTTTGGAACTGAAAATGGTTTAAAATTAACAGTAGAAGATGCAAAATGTATGCAAGCTAGTGCTTATATTCCAGTCAATGCATTTGAAGTATTTAACTTAAAGGAAGATATAATTTTTAGAATAAATTTAAATGTATTGGTAGAGTGCCTTTGCATGTTTTGGAGCAACATAAATATTCACGGAAGTTCTGTGGCCTTACAGCTTTTTTATAAAGTATATATAAAGTAGATTACACTGCATGGATCATACAAACAGAATTAGTAACAATAAGAATATTTAATGATAGGGTATTGGACATCCAGTGAGTATACTTATAGAAGAAAATGGTGTTATAACAGATTGTTCTTTAAAAACTCAAGATCCAGATGAGCTGTTAGATTTTCATCTTGAACCAGAAAATGTTCTAAATAAAGTAGTTCTACAAACTGAATTATTAAAAGATATATTATCTGAACTTGATCCAACTAGTGACTTGATGGAGGTAGAACATAATTTTGCATATACATTTTCGAAATTTTATATTTCTACATTTCTGTAATATTACAGTTATTTCTGTCACCATCTCCACCTTTTTTTCGTATTAGTACAGCTGGTATAGCTGGAATTTGTCATATTGAATTACCACATGATGGAGAGTTAATAGATAACTTTCAATGTACTTCAACAGCTATGTCAAGTTACAGACTGTCGCATATTAAGCCAGCTATGAAGGCACTACAATACGCTAATAAAGTTTCTTTGAGAACAGATACATGTGGACTACTATGTTTTCAGTACATGGTAAAAACTGATGAGGGGCATACTTGTTACATAGAGTACTATGTAAGAAATCATTTATGTTTATGTTTAATATAAATAACTAGGTATGCATGAAGATAATACATAAAAATATAAAAATATCTTTTCAGATTTCACCGGTGATAGATGAAAATGAATAATTTCATAGTAAATAATGGAATATTGATAGGATTATAAGTAACAACACAATTTTTTACAATACTATTTTTTTCTGTTGTAAGTAATGATTCCAATTCGTTGTATTCATTTTTGTAACTTTTATTGCGTTTATATAAGAAAAATACTTTCATACAAACTCTTTGCCATTCCAAATTATTCGTATCTCTTATGAACGCGTTCAACATATCCAATCGTGGATATAATATTAATGAAAGCAAATATATAAACTATATCTAACGATGCGTAAAAAATATATAAATTTCCGGAAACATTATATAATAATTCTTGACGTACGAATACACGACGATACGTGTTTTCAAGTATTGCGTGCACATGTTTTCTCTTGAAAATAATATTAGTAACGTTTACACGATTGTGCGTATCATTGTGTGTTTACATCTTTTCATTTTTTCTTTACATTTATCAAATGTATCGCGTTTCGATTCTTCAGAACATTTTTTCAGCACTTCAGCCAATTTGTAATTCGTTGACGCTGAAGAACAGTGTTTCTTCAGATGATACTTTTATTCCTGAACTTTGTATACTCTCGTGCATACAATATCGTCAACTTTCATGATCTGCAACACAAGAAAGCTACTTCAGTTAGTTATTTATATACAGTAGCTTATAATTCTATCGTAGGAGGGGCCATGTCTTATATACGCGCCATGTCTTTTTTTATTTCAATCTCCATTCAAGGTTTTGAAATGATTATCACTAATTCCATTATTGAACTTCTTATTAAATTGTTCAAGTCACGAATACGGGTAGCATGCAGTAATTGGCGGACCTTTTGACCAATGACAAAGTCATTGTTATTATCATTAGACATTTGCCCCGTTATCTTTCGTTGTGTCGTTCAACCCTACAGAAGTTTCATTACTTGGAACGTAATTCAATTGAACTGCTAAACTTCTAATTCTTTAATGAACAAAATTATTTTGCAAGCCATTATTATGCTTGTACCAAGGTACAAAGATTGATGATAAACTTCGTACAGCTAAATTCAGCGACTATATCTTCTTTTCATTTTTTTTTCTTTACTTTTCTGCTTTGCTTTTTTATTTCAAGATCATACATACCGCTTTCATTTCAGCCGGTGTGAATTCTCTTTCGATCGTGGTTTGTTTGTCCCCTTTTTGTATTTGAATGAGTTTATTTCCATCCAGAGTACAGACGCTCTTCACCTTCCTGCCGTCCGGCGTTTCTTCGTCGAATTCTTCGCCCAGCTTGAATTTTATTTCGGAGTTCTTGAATGGACTGGTCGTTTTTAACGTGTAAAGTCCATTGTTCTCCGTCAATTCAACCACAGGACTTACGCTGCTGCCCATTTTACGCGTCATTAAGCCTACGCCTGAAAGTGAAGGAAGCGCCGTTTAGAAATCTATAGAATTAACAGAATAGATTAAATTTGTTCCACGATGAATAGTTTCTTCGAACGAAAACCACAAATTTTTGCAAATGACAAATCCACTAAACACCTCGACTCGAAACATTTAAATATCCATTTCGTATTTGTCGTTAAACAATGAATAATTATTTTTTTTACCCAAACTTTTCATGTATTCGTCGAAATTCTCACTGGATTGAAGTTTATAACGTTTTCCCAATAGATTCGACAACATGTTTGAAATGATTCGAGCGTCACGCTTAACCGATGGAAGTAAAACAAGGACTGAACAGCGATGCGTTTGTTATCGCATCTTATATTGCGAATAGTGACATTACCGTGAGCTGCTTATCAATTATACAAAAACTCGAGTTTCCGTTAATTATAATACAAAAAGAAATGAAAACTTTGAACTTTGATCTGTTACAGTGCTATTCTCGATTTTTTGCTAATATTTTTATTTACAGCCTATTTAAGTAAAAATGATCATTACGCGTTAGTTAAGATGTACATTTTCTGCTGTTTTTGTTCCCGTTTACATTTTTTTTCTCACCATTATGTATGTAAATTACGTCAGAATTACCATGTATCCTCAGGTTTTCTTCTCAGAAGTTATTGTAAGTGTAAGATATGAAATATCATTGCAACTTCGCGACACGCGTATTTCTGAGCATCGGTGCACAGTGTAATCTATCTTGATTGAAGAGAAACGTAATTAATGTTGTTTTCGCACTAATGAATAACGTATCTCGCGTTGAAACTTTGATTACAATAAATTAGCATTTTTATTCATTTTCGGGTTAAGAATCGAAAATAACATGTTACAGTGTGATAATGAACGCCGATGAAAAACAACTCGTACACCTCTTTCTGTTCAAGACTGTACCGCGGTTTTATTAGGCAAACCGGTCAATGTATTTTTATTAAGTCAACTCTATAAGTACCATACATTAGTACGATTCGACTGACAATTGCGATTTATTAATCTTGCCGGTAAATTAATTCAAGTGCTAAATTGGAGTACAATCGTACTCTGTCTGTAGCACATGGCGGGAATTAAGCGTGAGGTCAGGTCGTTGCACGACCACCGGGGCCACAGTTCAACATATTAAAATTGATTATCTTATTTATCATTACAATAGATTTCCAACCCCTAATATCAGAAACGAGACCGTTCGACCGTGGTTTCGATTTAATTTCCCAGTAACGGTGAAATTGTAATCGTTAAACGCGCTCCATGTCCCCCAGATTCGCTTCGTTGAATCAAAATATTTGTATCATCTCTTATCTTCCCCTAATCTCATAGTCAACACGTACTATTTCCATAGCAGATAAATTTAACGTTCGACTTATTAGAGATTGCAAAATATGTCTATCGATTATTTCAGTAACTGTTACATTACTAATTAAAATTTCGTGTTTTATTCATCATCTCCAGGATCAATCACTGTTTAATAACCAATTTACATGAATATATCTTCTGTATCTAAGAAGGATATGTTATCGCTCGATGATCTTCGTATCAGTTTGGCTGCGGTGAATTTGCCGGGCGTTGGCGATAACTCTCGTTGCAGTAATTTCTCTTATGTTACCCATCGTCGCGTGAGATTAATTCGGCATTATACGAAGAATGCTCGTTAGAACGCGACGGATGTGCTCTCATCGGAACACGCTGCAAAGAACGTATACTATTAAATCATACGTACCGAGTGCCTTCATGAATTCGTCGAAATTCTCGCTGCTGAACAGCTTGTACCGTTTTCCAAGGTACTGTTCGGCCGGCATGACGATCGATCGAAATTCCTTGAATTGGAGCACGTGACTGAGAATATATTTCGGAAAGACGTCCCTCGATGTCTAACGGAGAAATTGGAGCAATGGACCGATGTTCACTGTATTGTCGCCGGGTCTAGACTGACTAGGATCCGGGAGGATGAACAGTGTTAAAGGTATACTGGCTGTACGTTCTCAACTGAGTACACACCTCTCTCCTACAGTTCTTTCTCTCTCACTCTCTCTCCCTCCCACCTTCATTTGTCCCTGTTATTTCATCTCGCTCTTTTTCGTTCACCCTCTTTTCGCCTTTCCCTCTATCGACCTCTCTTTCTCGTTTCGCTTTTCTCTCGTTCTTTTTCATCTTCTATTTGAAAACCACCGTCTCTCCCCGCTCGTTTTGCTTGGACGTTTGGGTGATCTCCCACCCGGCATATTTGCAGCTGCTACGCAGAGTCGGTGTCGTTCTTTCACCGTGCGTGTGCCTTCAATTTTTTCTTTTTTCTTTTTTCTTCATATTACACCTAGTTGCTAAACTGTTTTCCCTTTCTTCTGTTTCCTGCTTCCGTTGGGATAATTTTTTCGTTCGCCTTTTTATACGTATATGATGCACCGCCACTGAACGTGGGTGGCATGACAGAAGAATTAGCGAAGTTCGCCCTCTTCGTTTTGGAGCATCATGGATGTATCGAATAACTTACCGGTTGTTGTGTGCACCGATATGCTTGTTATGATACTTATTGAACTCGTATCTTTTATTTTTAACCGGAGAGGATATCTTTTTCCGCTTTCTATGTCCAGCGTTTTGTAACGTATTTTTCTTGGTTCGCGAACGTAGTATCGACAGGCGATCATATAATTGTTGGACAGAATTACTCGTGCCGGTAATCGCTGTCAATTATTTTATAGACAAACGATATGACGCGGCGGGTCGGTTATGCGCAAGTATTCACCTGATCATGCCGATATGCGCCTTTATTGGAGCAGCAGTGTGTCAGGCTGCGCACGGCGCTTCTAGTCGCCATATTTTACGGTTCAACTGCGAATACAATTGTTCATGATACAATTTGAATAAACTCGATCGAAGCTAAGAGGTGAATCACGAAGAATCGTGACCGAGTAAAGTTTACCTTTACTGTTGCATAGGAACGCAACGTACACGACTCTCGGTGCATTACGAAACAATTACGATCAATCTCTTTGTTTTGTTTATTCAAATCGCCAGGCGAGTATCTGTAGATCATGCAGTATAACGTTACATCGAGCCGGCGTCGATTACGCTGCGTTTGCCAAACAGGCTGGCATGGTCGATAACGGCACGGTTGGAAACGCGACGTGGTCGCGGTGTGTCCGCGTTCATTCCCGCTGAACACGGTGTCTACGATCACGTAGCAACGCGCTGCGATCGACGTATTTGCGAACCTCCTGCGTCTGGCAACGTTAAAACTGTTGCGAATTCCGCGCACCGATCACGGGACAACGCAACGCGGTCTCTTGTTGTTCCTTGAGTCTACAGAGTACGATGCGCTCGTGATTTCGAATCACGATTAAATTAAAGATTTTTAGAACCACCTGTACATACAGAGGGAAAGTGCACAATTTCAAAGTTTAATTTGCATTATTTCACCGATCGTTCTATTTATAGCGAAATCGAGCCACGCGTTTGTTCGCGCGCGGTTATCGGAATACCTCCTACAACCGGTTTCAACCGATCACCGGTTTCTCGGCGACGTTATTATAAATCCGGCGCGGTCGACGCGCGCCTGTATCACCGCATTGAAAATGCGGCGACGACCTGCCGTCCAACAAGGACGTGTCGCGCCACACATACATAGGCGAAGAGGAAAAGGAGGCGATCCGCCGCGTACCCGCGCGCCGGTTCCGTCGTCTTTCAGCTCTCTTGCCGTTGTAGATTTGGCAACACTGCGGCATAGCAGCGGCATAGATTCCGCTCCGCAACCGCAACCGCACGCCAGCCTACCGCCATGATGCCAAACCAAGCTGGCCGTACAACGGTTTCTCCGCAGTGACGCGCAAGCCGCCGGGGACGGCGTAGCAAGTACGATCGAATCGCTTGCGAGCAAAACGTTCCGTCCACGATCATTTTTCTAATTCTTCTTTCACCGTCCTCCGTATTTTCAACGTTATATCTCGATCGATGTTTTTGCGTTTCACGGATTTCGTTATTCGTTCACCGGGAACATTGGTTGGCTCTCCTTGCGTTTCTCTGCACGCTCGGATTAATCTGAATCGATACCCGCCTATCTTGGTCGACAGTTGGAAAACAATCGGACTCTTTGACCGAGCCACCATCATCCCCTAGCTATTCGGATTTAAATCACTCCGATTGTCTCTTCTTCGTCACGCGTACATCGTATTTGTTGAAAGACTGAAGAAGAAGAATTAAAAGGGGTAAAAGGGTATTGAGGGTTGTTTTAATTTTCGAACGGTGCAATATGTTCGATACGGAAAAGTTTATCGAAGAAATCGAGAAACGACCGGCGATTTACGATGTGAATCGTAGCGAGTACAACGACCGTAACGCCAAGATGACCGCGTGGGACGAGGTCTGCCAGGTGATGGTACCGAATTGGGCGCGCTTGACGGACGAGGAGAGAAACGTAGAAGGTATACACACAGCCTCTTGCGATCGATCGATCCGGATTCCTGCACTCGCACTTGTTCGACCCTGGTACAACCAGCCGCGACCGTACCTGCGGTCGTTTCAAATTAGTTCAATATTTTTTCTCTTTCCTTCCTTCGAACGATTATGAAAATGAAATATGATCGATTGTTCGCTTATATAATCCTCGAACGGAAAATGAGACTAAAATATCACCGTTCTAAAACCCCTTTGCATCCGGAGTTAATTCTTCCTCAAGATCCATAGATAGAACCACCCTTCTGCATCAACGCATTCGAGCTTCTATTCTAATCAAAAACGTAGTTATTTATCGATCGTTCATCTGTCCCCATAATTTTCAGAGAAAAATTTACGGGGTAAATGGAGAAATATTCGAGATTATTTCATGAAAGAGCTGAAACTTCAGAAGTCGCAGAAATTAGGACCAGCTGGTCGAAAACGAAAGAAATACATGTATTTCGATCAGCTGTTGTTTCTAATGCCCACTGTGGAGAATAAACGGTTGGTACAAAATCCAGTATTCTATGAGCATGGCCATTGATAATATTAATTGTTTATTGTATTAATTGACATTGGAATGTTTCCTATTTTGAAATGTAAACGTTTTACGTTGGACGACTGTGGTTGCCCATAATAATGAAAGGGTTTATTATCTAAGGAAGATTACTCATCCACCCAGACCCACCCCTATGTTTGTTATTACTATACATTACAGAAACGTAGGAGCAACGTTAAATAATTGCAAATCCGAAGAAAGCGAGGGTGAAGTTGACAATCCTGTGATCGAAGAATACGACGTACCATTGGCACACGCCGCTCCCTCCATAACGACGGGCAGGGAGTACCTTCAACCGGGTGCTTCCTATAAAATGTATCCCCGTTATCCAAAGCAGCTTTGCGAGACGTCGTTCACGTCGTTCGATAATGAAATTCACGATATCTTGTCGTCGCATAGCAGCCAACGAGTTACGTACGACGAGGACGACTACGACAAAATGTTTCTGCTCTCCTTGTTGCCGATCATTCGGCAAGTACCGGAAGAGAAGAAATTGGACGTCAGGATACAGATGCAACAAGTCCTGGCTCTGGCGCTTCGTCCACCGGACAACAAGCAATGATCATTTTATACTTCTCTGGACTCGAGTTTAAGCGTTAATTCGTAAACGAAAGACGTTATCACGAAAAAAAGATACGACGTGTGGCGAAATGAGCCGTGTTTCACATATTTTTGTTTTCTCTTTGGTGTGCAGAAGTCAACCGCACTTCGGCCGAGTTAATCTTCAGGATTGCTAATAATACCGTGGACTGCGGATTTGTTTACGTCGTAAACGCGATAATGTTTCAGAACTTTTCAGAGGTAACCTTCCACGGTAATTTAACGACTTGACAGGTTGATGGCCACGGTAGTCATTAAAACTATGAACCAAGAAATCATGATGCAAAATTGCAATAGTGATTGGAAAATTTATGCGTTTTAATCGAGGCATTATTGTGTCCTGCTCCGCCATTCGAGGATTAATATCCTTAGCATTTCTTACGATGGTATGTCGTACCCAGCATGGCTGCTTCTACTATGGCAATCAACGTGTTCAAGAATTGCAACTTTGAGTACCTATACCTGTGATATTGAGCGAGGATACTACTTTCAATGTATGCAGAAACAGAAATAGGATTTTTAACAAGTTGATGTTACTGTGTTAATAGGAAGCGTGATATAGTCGTGTTTTACGTGCATATGTATTTTCATAACTTGGAATATAAATGGTAATATTTTATTGATACGTGTCCAACAGAAGCAAGCGTGAAATTGCTGTGAATAATTATATAAAAATTATATTATCAGTAATGTTACTTTTAGTCGATACAAGATTCGTTCGCGTTTAGGGATGTGTAGGCAGGTGGCAGCACCGGTACCTTACTTTTGAAGTTTCCGCTTTCTGTATGATACAAGGTAATTAAGAATGTATGTAAGTACTTAATTTAGAAACTTAAGATGTAACATGTCTACTTAATTTCATACTTAATTATTATTCTACTTACACTAGTATTTCTGATTATTTACTCGTTTTGTATTCATGGATTGTTTGAAATAAAATTATTAACAAACATCATGATACGATAATCGTTTGTATTATAAAATTTCAGTTCAGTATAAATAGAGGAAAAAGAAACGAAAGAAAATTGTAAGTAACATTAATAATTCCCCGAGGTAAAAAAGGGAAAACATTAATTAACAATTGAAACAATCTCATTCTGAATAAGAACAATTATAGCGTGTCCGACTACGCATGGCTATTTCTACTGTAGTAGTCGACGCCGTCGAATGTTCATAATCTTCATTTTCAAGCGGGTACATGTTTTTCTATGCAAGAACGAGTTAAACGTTTAAATATAGTCAACACAAGTCGTGTTTAGCTTAAATCGTTATTCTATTTTTGTTTTTTATTAAAACACTTGTTCCTAATCTCGAAAGCGTACAGGAAGTAACGCTGTACCATGGAATCAGAACGAAGCATGTGCTTCCCCGGATGCTATCTCGTTTGTCACTTTATTTTTACCGTAACGCAAACTGGATTTAATTATCTTTTCTCGTATCCTCTCGTACGTGACGTTTCGTTGTAGCACGGCATAAAACAGTATTCACGCGAGACATCTAATTATAACAGATAATGAGTTTTACCCAGAATCCAAATTCACGATGTTGTAGTTTTAGTAAAATGAACAAAGATGATGGAGAGAGATTCATAGCACCAAATACGAAGCATTCGCGTCGTTGTTGCAATGATTGCACAATGGTAAATATCGGTTTAGAAATTCGGAAATGTAAAAGACTATGGTTCACCACAACTATTGTTGTAAACCAACTTCGAATGAAATTTTCACCCGAATGTACCGAGTAAATTGAATTTCTATTTTTGAAGTGTGCATTATTAACCGATGCGCATGCCAATTAGTTACTGCCCCTGATCCATTTTCCACGCATTTAAATACAAATTACCATTGATTTTCCATATATGTAAATCGCAAAAACATCACGGACACCTTCGACCCAAAATATTCGGACGATTTCATTTTATGGTGAAACACAACGAACCCGCAAGAAATCTCGTCACCCGTCAACGTTTCCTTTGTTATCGAGCATTTACGACCGAACGTCGAAACAATAGAGATGCATCGTTTTTGCACACCATTGTCTCGTTTTTTTTTTGTACAATTTTTGATTCTCAAAGTGAATGACATAGAAAAGAGACGAGCAAACAGCAGATATCTGTGCTGTTGGTAACAAAGAATATCTCAGTATATTCGTATAATAACACGAAAATAAATTATTTTAATTTCGATTCACTTGTACTTTTACTGATAAATTGCAAATGGATGTGATCAGCAAGATACGTTATGATTGTAATTATTCAGAATACGATTCAAGTACTTAATTCAAGTTTTTAATTAGGTATGTGGAAGAATTGTTCATGACGTGGCTGAGGGATCCCTATGGAAATACAAGAATCCCTACATGAATAACATAGTAATCAACGTGTTAATAAAAATATCTTTGACTCTCCTGAAAGTATCAAAACTAATTCAATGATTTTTGATTCAGGTAAAAAGAAAGAAAGAAGTATCAACCCCCATTGGTAAGGATAATCGGCAACCGGTCTGGAACATCAGGCGCGTAAACATACAAGGGTTACCAGCAACTAGTGGCGTTTGTTGAAACTCTACCCTCGGTGAACCCTCTTTTCCCTCCAATTCACTCCCACCCTCAATAGACACCATCCACCTCATCCCCCTCTCTCTCTCGATCTCTACGTGTCAATCCCTCTCTCTTAGCCGTTTCTCTTACCCTCGCTCGTTCACCAGGTTCCCCTCTTCTCCTGTTCTGTCTCTTTCCCTCGACGGCACGCGCGGCTTTCTCTCGCGCGCGCGTTCTTCTGCCTGTGGAGCAACTCGCAGCATCCATCGGCCCGCTCCGGACTTCAGTCCATGTCGAGATCGCGGCACCGCCGGGACCCTGAGGACCCTTCGACACTAACGAATCCTTACACCTTTTAACTTGTAAACTGACGGTATCGAGACAAAGCTTGTTCGACGAAAAATCGAGTAACAGGCATTCTCGATTCCAACGATTTATTTTTAATTAAAAAAAAAAACAAAAGACAAGATCATCCTGTACCATTGAACCAGTATCTGCATTCTCGAGTCTCGTTTCCTGGATTTTTCATTTTGTCTATGTTACGCCAACGGACAAAGTAAATTCGACGATTAATCCATAGATTAATTTCTAAACGCAGAGAAGCATTCGCAGCGTTGATAAAACGGGATTCTTAGATCAGAGAAATTCATTTGTTATTCCGGCCGTGTCCGCGGGCCGAAGGATAAACAATCGGTTGTCCCATGATAACGGATGCCCTAAGGGATCACTGGAATAAAATTAGGTAATCGCATTTGATGCGGATAGAAGGAGAAGACGCGTAGCGTGTTCGTTGAGGGAACGACATCAGAAAGGGAGGAAGAGCCACGAGGGCCCGCGAGGAGACTGAAGAAGAGCGATTTCCCGCGAGACTGCCGGGGGTTGTTGCCCAGCCCCGGAGAAGCGGACATCGGGCCCGGATGTTCGCAAGGACGAGACGCCGGAAACGCTGCCACGTTGGAAGGGAAAATATTGACGGCCGTCAACAAGTTCCTTACGACATCCCCTTTGGTTAACAAAGTCAAGTTACTAATGGTGAGTGCTCGTTTTTCTTCGCTTTACCTTTTCACTTTCTCTCCGTCTTTGGCCTTATTCTCTATTGACACACTTCCTTCGCTGACTCTATCGGGAAAAGTTGTTGGTGAACTGTCTCCGATTTCCTTGTGTCTTCGATTAGTTATAGAAAATTATTTGGCAGATCGCTATATGTGTTATTATCAGTGGCGAGCTGTGAAATGCTTTTTCATGGTCGGCAAACTATTGAAACATTAGTTATTTTTGAAAATAAAATTAAACATGCAACAGTATGCAAATTTCAAATCTGAATTACAATTACTCTACACGTAATGAGTTGTGCAAACATGTTTACACAAAATATTTTCTCCCTCGAAGCGAATTGAAGTATTATCATAATTCGAATATTTTGCCTATTATACGTGCTCTGAGCACTTTATTTTGTTCTTTTTTACGTAGTGTGTAGTTTACATATTTTATGCACGCTCTAATGTACTTTCGAACATCCATTACTTTTTTATGAAATAATTTGCAAACAAAACGGGTTCATAGTTTAATGTATCAAGTAATAATCCACTTACATAGAAATTTTTTCATTCAAAATGGAATTCCGTGAAATTCCTCGGTATTGTGAGATTTCATTGCATTCTGCGGAGGTGCATTAGGAAAAGAAAATTCGTAGAAACGATTTGGCGTATAAAGATATCTCGAACAGAGTTAGAACAATAAATGGGTAGGTTATAAATGAGAGCAATGGAACATACGATTTTCATTAGGTGGCTTTTGTTGTCATCAAAGAGAACCTCTACAGTTGAGTTCTTTTCGAGGATGAAATTTTCGGTTTGCCGCAACAATGAAACGGCGATTTTATGCAAACGAAATGGCCTCTAGAGTCCTTTCCACATCTTGTGTGAACACAGCCACCATAGCATCTTTAATTACTCATTAATATCTAACTCTATCTTTGCTTACATTCCATTACATTTTCCTCCCCCACTCCCAAATGTCATCTCTCCTAAAGTTTTTCTTATGCAAAATATGCTAGGTTTTTCCTCATATTTTTTTTTTCAATTATTTTTACATGTAGACCCTCTATATTATACAATGTTCTGTTCATTGTAAAAAGTAGCGCACTAGAGAAAGATAGTGTCCGAGCTTTGCAAGTGGTTCATTAAGCCTCTCGTGCAGGTATGTTTTATCTCGCAAAAAATCGACCAGTGGAAACGATAATCCAACGTGGGTTGGCCCGCTGAAAAAGCGTAGGTAGAATAGTAATTTAGGAACGGAGAATTTGGTATTCTGCCAGAAAATATATATTTCCAGATACGTGTTCTGGAACATGGCGAAATCATTGGGTTCAGACAATATACATATGCAGATCGATGCTCCACGTATCGTTATTTTCGTTCAAATTCTTGCTCGAAATGCCACTTAATTTCCTTTGTTCTCTAACTTGTTGCTCGCCGTCTGATTCTGATACAGTAATCCTGTGCATTTATTATTAATACGAATTAATTCCCAATCATACCGCGAGTAAATTTCACGGAATTTATCGTTGGTATGTAACCGTGTCTATGATTGGAATGATCAAAGGGACGGTTGATACAGTTTCGCATCGGTGTCTACAATGCAAGAACCCATAGACTGCATCGCGAATGAAGCGTAGCAAGTTCGGTGTGTAATCTATACTGATTTCTAATCAGATGTATTCGAGGATTAAATAGATTCCAATTGCACAGTATTACAAACAGGCAAACGGGAAACTTGAAGGAGTTCCTCGTAATGTTCGTCTCCTCGAACGAATTAGGATTTCATATTTCGGATTCGCCCTTGTGCCTTACAGCGATCATGCATTCCCGGCACGTGGTTTCCCAATAAAAAATACATCTGTATGCATAGATTTCTCTTGGATTATCGCAATTATTTAAAATATTACCGGTGTACGAATCGGTCCCATGAAAGATAGCAATCTTGACCTACAGTATGAAACATCTGAAAACCATCCTTTGTCGAAATAGTACGATTCCTGTAGGAATACCCCGTCATTCTGGACATGCCTTTATCGTGGACGCGTAGGAGAACTCGAAATTCCCGGCGTGCGTTATTCTGTCATGTACGGAGACAAATGGTCAGATCGCAGGCAGATACGAGACATCGCTAAAAGAATGCACCATCGAACGCCAACTTCTGGCCTGAACTCGATTACGAGTGGACTTTCTGAATGGCGTACCAATCGTTTGTCAGAAATACGGACAGCCCATTGTGTTTTAGTCGTTTGTTTATAATGTGGTACTTTATCGGGTGAAAGATTTTACTGCAAAAAGCTGTCGAATGAAAAGGTAATTTAAATTTTTAACTTTACAATAATGATAGATTGCAATTTGATTATTCAGAGCTGGAAGTATTTGTCTTAAACGCTCGAAGCAAATTACTATTGTTTCGTGAAACCTCATCTGACAACGTTCGTCTTTGAAAGCTATAACAGCTGAGTTACGAAGTTTATCTTCATCAGTCTTGCTCACCTGATCTGTCTCTCACGGATCGCTATCTATTCAGATGCCTAACAATTTCCCCTCGGGAAAGCTTCTTATTAACGAAGAAGGCGACGCGAACACATGCTAGACGTTTATCAAATTTTGAATCGGAATTATCATCGTGATTAGCAAAAAAGATGTACAAGTATCTTATACTCCTTAACATTGTGTTATTTTTTATATTTTATGCTATTTCAACAAAAGTATACAATATCAGTCGAAATATATTGTCGTATTAAGACTCAATACTCGAGACGAAACGTTCGGTCTAATTCCAGGAAATTGCATTTTGGAGGTTGCATCTTCCGAAACCTATCTCGTTTTTCTTCAACTAACGACCATCCAATCACAGCCACGTTGAAGCGAATTGCATTCGAAAGGAATCGAATCGAATTCGTGTTCAGCCTCTGCCTAAATGATCGAAAATCACAGCAGGATTTTCCCGCGCGTTGAAATCCCTGGAAGTCCTGCTGTACCGTACTGATCCTCGCTGTTGAATCAGCAACTTGATTGTACGAACAATCACTTATCCATTAAAGCTTTGATATTTCAAATGTTTATTTTGAAAATGTAAATCGATGGGGAAGTATTTCAAGAAGAGAGATTCCGAGCAATTTTTATAAAAATTAATCAACGAGATATAGGAATGGGTATCCAAACATACTGCTATTCGCAGAAAGATTAATTCGGGTCAGCGGAGTTACTTTTTAAACAGATTTACCGTGATTCCGCTGGTATGCGTTTTTTTCGTCGGCTTGAAAGTTTATTCATTGCGGTAAAATAATTAAGCGGTGGTAACGTCATCGGGAAGAGTAAATGTTTAGAACAAATTCCAGTAGCTACGGTACGCGATTTGATTTGGTTTTCATTTATAAATTGACGAAACCAGCAGGACTGCGCTTTAAAACGTTCTCGTTGGAAAGCTGCGCGTCATATGCAGGTGTAATTAAGGAGCATGTTGACAGTTGCAATTCTGGCCCGAAATCGTGATAAAAACCGTCTTTCTGGTCGAATTTTCGGCTACGATGTTATTTTATAGCTGTCCGCAAAGCACACTGGGTCATTTTGAAAATGTTAATGAGATAGGCACCACCCAAAACGGCTGGTACAATTATCTACCCTCTGTTCTCGAAGTTAAAAGACCTATTAACGTTACCGAATTTTAAATTAATAGCTTAGAAATACAGGAACAGTTTTTACAATTTTAATTTACAGAAATAATATAAGTATAATATTATTTGTGAATCACCCTTCTGCCTGATTGTACCATTCTTTCCGTCCAGTTCAATACCAAAAACGACCTATCTCAAGCATCCTTCTTTCCAGTCGATTTTTCACAATGTCGAGGAATTTCTTTTTTTATGGCAACCGTTCAAAAAGCGATCCGCATCAAAGAAAATATGCGTCTTATATCCTCATCTTCTTGCTGCAACATCGTAACTCGTGAAACGCGGTTCACATTCTTTCGTTCGTTAGGATATTCGAACGTTCTTTCATTCATTTGCGGCGCGCTTTATAACCCTTTAACGGGTTCTTTTTATACGCGAAAAGAGGAAGGATCGTGGTTTCTCGACGAAAGAAGGAGAAACGAAGCGTACAAGGTGGAATCTAATTAAGCTATCCCATTTTCCGCGGTAATTTGTAAGAGATAGGCTAACGTTTCGCTATTTTAATTCGTTCGGACCTTCTTCTAGGTTCATTTCCAGAACGAAAGAAGAAATTTTTTGCGTTTCGTTGCAGGCCACCACTTGGTTCTATTTAATTCGTGACCCTCCACGTAACGTTCGATTTCGATTAAAAAATGTGGCAAACGTTTCGGCGAAGACCTTGCTCGACTTTCACGTGCTACCACTCATATCCCAGAAGAAGCGGAACACTTTGGGGAGGAAATATCGAAAGGCAAATATCCCGAGAGTATTGTGCTCGCAATCGTGCTTTTTCTGCAGAATTTACCGCCATGCTGACCTCTCCATTTTCATCTTACATAAAGAATGAACGCACGCTACGATCTTTCCAGGTGGCACGTTCTTTCCTTCATTTGCTATGCCACCTACTGTAACGAGGCACTCAAAGGCGAGGTAAAATGATAGCAGCGGAATGCGTAACAAAAGCGGGGAATAGCCAATATCATCTGGAATATATTTCCATCGTGAATTTTACTCGTAAAAGGTACGTGTGTCGCGATTACTTCGACGAACGTGAAATATATTTTTGTTACGTTTGTTATGGGCCGATGTGACGTTCGACAGGTAGGTGTTTCGATAGATAGGTACGTGTTTAATAGGCGTTCTCGTAAATGTTTCGCTTCGATGAGAAACATGTCGAAAAAGTGAAATGATCTACGACATATTAATTTTTCTTTTTATAGTAGCGGTTGTAAAATGAACGAGGAACGTTTAATTAATATCGGGTCATAAATTTGATAGGTTTTTCTATCACAAACCATGCAGAATATTTACAACGTTCGTGTATCGCAGAATTTATTTC